CATTTTACATTAATTATAAAACAATTTAATTTAAATTTAATTAAATAAATATATAAATTTGTTGCATGAAAATTTTGCAAATTCATAACATCACAGGATTTTGCAGCTCACTTCACTTAAAATAGAGTTCAAGATACTAAACTAAAACCAAAATACATATTGAAACTACAATTAGTGACAGGATTATAATATCAATTTAAAATGTAACAGTAACATCTCATGAGAACCATTGCTCGATTGGTACATGATCGAATCCTGAACAACATTATGGGGTTGGGAAACACTCAAATCACAAGTGATGGTCTTCGATTGGGAGACTGTCGAACCACATGCAACGTTGTCCGACTGGGATAACGTAGAATATGAAGGGTTGTCTGCTCATCTGAAGAATTCGCAGTCGTCCAGGTCGTGCTTTCACCTTGTGCACCTATAGAGCTGCCTCCCGAAGTTATGTTGTCGGTCAGTAGCAAAGACGACATTCTGTAGCGGCACATCACTTGCCCAGACTTCTCTGAATATCTGGAGCTCATCGTCCTGCAATTATTAAAAAAAGATATATCAGTAAAAAAATATAGGAAATAAAGAAAATCTACTTACCAAATTGTGGAGGCAATGGTTGCCAACAACAAAATTCTATGGTCATCAAAGCTGCTCCACAGGAAGATAGGTGAAGAGGGAGAGAAAGAGGTGGGGAGAGAGAGAAGTTGAGAGAAAGGGCCATCCATCTCACCTAAATGGGAGTTGCTGACCCCAATTCTGGCATAGTATACTCGGCATTGTTATCAGCATTGTTATTTCAAGCACCTATTACCTTTTAAATCACTTCTATGTAATCCCAAAAATAAAGCAAAAACAGGCATTGATATGATGACAGCTATTCCACTTCCTTCAAGATGAACATTTTAAAGTTCTACTCAATGTGATGCATTGCAACTCATTGTTATTTCAAAGGCAGTTTAGCATTGCACCTCATTAATAAACCAAAAGCTCAGGCCAGCACACCAACCAAACCATAGTAACACAGGTCAGAGGCCATACAACAAAAACCACCTGCAATTATCATCTCCTTCAGACCAGTTAGACAAACCAAAAAAATGTTCTTAACAGAAGGCAAAGCACCTTCAAACCTAGCAGAGTCATTAACAAGCAAAACAAACCACAATGAAAGGAAGGAAAGAAAAGGAAGTATGCTCCCCTCTTTTGTCCTTCCAGAAAAAAGACCACTCATATGGAACACAATTGTGAGATGCACTTTGCGCAACTACACCTCAGTTACTTTCAATTGAAATACTTGAATAAAATATCAATTCATTACCAGATGTCATATTTGCAATGGATTTCACCCCAAAATTATTTTAAAGTAAAGTCAATAAAGTATGAAAGAACTTCTTCAGAAGCAATTTGCAAAGCAGATTCATATTGTGATAATGCCTCGTCATATATTCCAGACCCGAATAGCTTATTTCCTTATGCTTTAGCATTAATTGCTTGGTTCAATGCTTTCTGAATAATATTCATTAAAAAAAAAAAATTAAAGACACTTCATAAGAGACTGCTGAAATTGTATCTTATAGTCCAATTCTTATTTCTTTGCATATCTAGCACCTGAACTTCACTTTTTTAAAACCCAAATTCTAATTCAAAACCTAAAATCATCATTGATTTTGAATCTGAGAACTCTTAGTTCAAAGTTATCTTCGCCGTATGCAAGTCATATAGAGAGGCCATGAACATATGGTTTGATTACATTATGATTTTGAAAACAAAAACAACTTGTTTATCTTTCTGATCTCTGTTATTTACATTTGTACCAAGAAATTATAGAAAATACCTGTGGAAAACTACAGTACATGCATGATGCTTGAGAACTGCAACTTTTCTGCTTAACAATAAGAACCTGAAACCTAAACCTAGTTACGAACTCTGGTTCTCACAGAAATTTCCAAACTCTGATTCTCGCAGAAATTGGGGTTTTCGGCAATGGGGGAGGAGTGGGAGGAGAGAAGAGGAGGCGAGGGAGGGAGGACAAATTCTTTTACCAGAAATCACCTTCTTCTCGGCGAAATAGGGTAGTGACGGGATGCTGCATGTTCGATCTACCGCTGGGGCGACGATCAGGGTTAGCGAGGGCAGTGGGGGAAAAGTCAGAATGCGAACGCGATACGCAGGCAAAGGCCCGCGGTTGCTGTTTAGGCTAAATACTAAAATGCCGATTTTCAAAACACAATAGAAATGCTGGAACCAAACAGCACGACGGCGTTTTCAAAAATGCCGCCGCATTTTTAAGCTGCCCCAAACGGGCCCTAAGATAAATCCTCCTATGAATGTCTAGTAAGAACATCATAACTAAAGCAAAATGATATGGGCTTAAAGGCGATCCCTTATGTAATCCAATTGTAATCAGAAAATGTTGGGTCAATCCTCTTTTTGTTCGAATAGAAGTAACAACTCTAATATACATATACTTAATGACTTGATTATAAGTCATGTCAACACCTTTTTTCTTTAAAACTCTCCAAAGGACTTCTCTTGGAACTTTTTCATAAGCTTTTGCTAAATCAATAAAAATCATACGTAGATCCTCCTCACTCTCTCTGTACTTCTCTATCAAACCTTTCAATAAATATATAGCTTATATAGTAGACCTGCTCGATATAAATCCAAACTGATTATGAGAAATTTTTATATCAGATTTTAATCTATCTTTAATTACCCTCTCCCATGGTTTTAAAGCATGAGACAACAACTTAATTCCCCTATGATTTGCACACTCTTGTGCATCCTCTTCAATCTTAAAAATGAGGACCAAAAATAACATTCCTCCACTTCTCAGACACCTTTCTAGTTTTTAAAATTATATTAAAGCGTTTAGTTTGCCAAGTAACTTCAAAATCTCCTAACTATTTCTTCACTTCAAATGAGATACATCGAGTCCTACTGATTTTCTACCATTGATTTTCTTTAAAGCCTCGTAAACTTTTTTTTATTAATGCGATGGTAAAAATAAAATATATTATTATTATTATTAACGATATTGATATCACTAAAGTCGATCGTATTTTCAAAAATTTGATTGAAAAGTTTATTAAAATGGCTCACTCATGTATGTTGAATATCTTCCTGTAATAAAAATGTATTTTGATTTTCATTTTTAATCCACTTTACTTGAATTAAATTATTACTTTTCTTTTCTCTTTTTTTACTAGCTTATACATATATTTTTCATTCTCTTCAGTATCTATTATATTATTTAAGGTTGCTAAAAATAAAATTTTCAATGTTACAAATTTTTGTTTTAGACTCCCTTGGGATCACTTTATATTTTTTTTTAGTTCTATAAGCTTTTACATTTAAACTAATTTTTATAACACATTTACTTATATTTTTTCATTTCTTGCACATTATTATTCCACTATAAATTATTTTTCTTTATAAAACTTTTTATTTTGATTCTCCAATTAGACATGTTGTCACTTGTTTAATAGCATTTTTTAGTTTATCTCACATAAAATTAACTTCATCACTAACATCCCAAATCTTCAAATCTTGAAGTTTACTCATAAAACTAATTTTAAGTGTCTTGTTGGTGCCCCCATTTAATTTTATGATAATGTTTCATTGTATTCTTTGTCTTAGGGCATCTCATTTTAAAATTCAGAACTTATAAGCCATGTCGAGTAAATTTTCACTTAGAATGACCTTACAATCTTTATATTCTTGACTATTTTTTTTCTCATAAAAAAATAATCAATTTGTGTTTTATTAGATTCATTTTTTTATATAATAATATGCTCATATCTTTTCTTAAATAAAGTATTAAGAATATAAAATCAAATGCTAAAGAAAAATCTAATATGATTTTACTTTTTTCATTAATCTCTCCAAAACTATAACTACTATAATATTTCTACAATCTTCTACCACTTCACCAACATGTCCATTTAAATCTCATTTAATAAAAATTCTTTTTCTAAGGGGTATCATTTATATTTTTTATTTCATTCAATTTTTTTTTTAAACTTATATCTAAACCTACTTGAAGAGCATAAACACTTATAACATTAAAAATTTTAGTATCAACAACAATCTTTAAGGCTATAATTTTATCTCTAATTCTATTAATTTTTACCACATTAGCTGTCAAGCTCATATATAATTACATCTGCATCATTTTTTAGTGCGACTCTTATCTGAATATTAAAGCTTAAAATCTAAGCTATCAATCACTTTAGTCTTTTCTCAAACCCATTTAGTTCTTGAATACATAAAATATTTATCTTTCTATGAATCATAATATCTACTAATTCCATTAATTTAACTGTGAGAGTACGTATATTCTAAGATCCTATCATAATATTAATTTCATGGACTAACTTCTTTGCTCACATCTGTCTAAAATGTGGGAATCCTTGCTTATTTGAAACTTCACCCGAGCGTCGATGTAGCGGCCCTTGCGCAATGACACAAGATCTAAATGGTTCATGTCAATTATAGATATGAGGGATTGGCTATAGGAGCCACAGTTGGATGCCATGGCAAGAGTCCTCTATGTAGTGGGAGTTTACCACAGGATAGCAAGAGAGTGGCTAACGACTAGTGAACTGAGTCGATGATGTGCGGTGACAATGAGGTCAGTGAGGCAAATGATAGCCAAATGGAAGGTCAGTGAGTCACAACACTTGGCATTGAGTTGATTTTCGTTTGTATGTACTTTAGTCTTTGGGGAGTAGTTTCTAAGTTTGGGTGAACATGACTAATATTAGATGAGTAGGGTTGCGTTTTGAGGAATACTCCTTTAGATTTTGGTGAGTTCATCAGAAGTTCAACGGGTTAACCACGACTTTATAGCTAGTTAGCGTGATTTCATATCATTCTGTGGGAATTTATGCTATCTTAAACGAGTTCATGATGGTTTGGGTGAGTTCTTGCTGCTGAGCTTTCAGAATGTTTAGGTGTATAAAATAAAAATGCCATTCCATTGAATTAATTTGCTTGCCTAGGTCTGTGGATTTCCCAGACGCTTGTACCTATGCAGAGATCAGAACAAGGATCCCAGACACCATTTCCTGGGACTACCATTTTGAGCCAACAGGGACTATTCCTGTCACTTTTACTGTCAGAGTAATTACACTAACCTGGCATCCTATTTAAAAGTTTTGGAGAATTTACATACAAACCACACAATTCTTATTTATTTACATATCTAGTACTTTAAGTATGATATTTACATTTATAACATTTTGGTATTAAATACCTATGCCTTAAAGCTGTATTTTAGAAAGTTAATGATAATGTTATTTTTGATTTGCTGTCAAAGATTTGTGTACTATGTATGCAAATATGAATGTTCAGGTGTTAGCTATGTAAATATAAGAAATGTGTGATTTGTATGTAAATGCCCCAAAAGTTTATTTAAAAATTGTAATATACACATTTATATTAATGTCTGCGGTTCTGAGCTTTTGATTTATGTTGATCTACTTCTCCAGTCTGCGGTGCTCAGGGAAGCAATTGATGATCTGGAATGGCCTGGTTCCAGCGTCCAGATACGCATAAGACCTGATCCTCCCTCGGTGACTTTTAAATCAGAGGGCCACGGCGACTTGCAGGTACGTGTCAATTACCTTAACTGTACATTCACTTTTTTTTAAGAAAAAAAGATTTACATACATACCACTCAATTCTTATGTA